GGTCACGTTTCAGAATTTCCTGAAAACGCATCAGGATGTAGTATATAGTGGGAAAAGTGTGTACCGAATTTCGTGACTCTACGTGAAAGTGTGTTCGGGGGCCCATTTTTTAAAATATTGTAGGGGCGCTGTTGAGTCATGTTGCTATTGAGGTGAGTATTTCCCCCTAATTATGAAATTTTTCGCCAGGTCTGATGTGTGTGGCGAGGTTGGTGAGTGTGTGAGTATGTTGTGTACCTCAAAAACGCGTTTGTTTGTAACGAATAATAATAAATAAAAACCCGAGCAGTTCCAATAGGGTCTTCGCACCCTTTTGGTGCTCGGACCCTAATAATAATAATAATCCGAGCAGTTTCAATAGGGTCTTCGCACCCTTTTGGTGCTCGGACCCTAAAAATGTTCTGAACTGTGATTCTCAGCTTCTTCTTTTTGTTTTTCGTTTATATATAAAAACCTAAAAACTGTGATTGTTGACGAACCTTTGATGCAACATTTCTTAATCATGACTGTAAATAAACGAACACTCGGTCAGGTTGACTTTCAACGAGTCGTCTTTATTTTTGTTATTCACAACACGTAACATCTTTATGTTTTTCTTTTCCGTGGCACACACGGCGCTCCACAGTCTCTCTTTTCTGCTGAAAACCTGTCGACAGGTGAGTCACATGACCTCGTGACACCTTCACTGAGACAGGTGATGCGTGCTGCGTTCCAGACCCGACAGAAAGTTGGACATTCCGGTTTCCAGAGAGGAGACGGAGCAGCTCAAACACACGACAGATTCACGGCTAATTTCAGCCACAGAACATCGATTGAATCACGTTCACGCCGCTCAGACGTCACACAGAAATAAACTCTTTGATAAAAACAGAACGACACGATAAAATATAAATTAGTTCAAAAAGGCTGGAAAGCAGAAAACCAACAAACAAAAAGGAAGAAAAGTTTGATATCTACGATACGACCTGGAGGATTAATTCATCTCACGTTTGTATTTTTAGTAAAAACACAGACTGGAAGTTTTTAAAACTTTACTTGATTTTGTTTTTGCCGCAAATTCTCAGATTTTAAAAGCGTGTTTTTGTTTTTTAAAACTATACTGTTGGCGTTCCTGCTGTGAATCTGCAGCTTCAGTGTCTCTGAACGAAACCAGCCTCAGTCCCGCTGGATGTTCCAGGTCCGGCTCGGTCCGGTTCTGCAGGCTCGTTAAGGTTCTGCAGAGTTCTGTGTCCTGATAAACGAGACGACGTTTCCTGCTCGTCACTGATTGGCCACCGGCGGCTCCTCCTCTTCTTCCATTGGCTGACTGCCGAAGCCGCTGTCGACCGTGGCGTCTGATTGGACAGAGAGATGGCGACGAGGTGAGCATGTTTACAGAACGTTGTTTAAACAGCAACACATTAAAAAAGGAAAGTTTAGGAGTAAATTACACCAACTCTAAAAAAAAGAGACGATTTTCTTGAACTAATCGTTCGACTTTCACCGGATTTTGGTTTGAAATGGTGACGTCACATCAGAAGCTCATTATTCTACGTGTCTCGTTTAAAAAATTTGCAAAAAAAATAAACTACTTCCTCCAACCAGAGTCTTTAAAAAGCTGAAACTTGAGCGTCGCTCGGTGCAGCTGTGAACAATTCAGCGACCAACAGTCATGTGACGGAAACGTCGGGACTTTTCGGCCCACAGTGACTAAAAACGTGACGAAAACACCCAGAAGGCTTCAAGTTCAGAGGATTGAGTCTCAAAAAACAGACGTGTGATTTACAAACTGTTCAGCATTAAACACTAGAATCAGCTTCATCTTGATCAGCTGCATCAATAATTATTCTGACATGAAACAATCTGCATCATCAGTACTTTTACTTTTGGTATTTCGATGCTGATACGTTTGTCCTTGAAACACAGCGGTTTTTTTACACGCAGGTGTTTGAACCATTTAAACTTGTAGACAGGTGTGTTTACCTGTGTTGTGTTTGTCGTCTCGTAGCTCGGTGTTCCTCAGCAGTCGGACTCCTTCTGTCAGACCGAGAGACTGAAGCGCTTCGACCAGACCTTCGACCGGACCTCCGCCGAGCTGCACGCAAACACACAAACACACAAACACACAAACACACACTTCATGAGCCGCCGAACACCAAGTGATGAAACACCCTGAGAGCAGAACCACATGAACACGGTCGTTATGAAGCAGGACATTAAATCCAGAGTCGGGCGTCCAAACGGGTTCAGTCAAGGAAGAGTTCAGGATTATTACATCAGCCATCAAAAGCAGACCACAAAGAACAGCATGGACGTGTGATATGACTCCAAAACCACCATTTCTCTTCATCTGTATGACTTTTATTGTGCATCAAATAACACAACAGGGTCTCTATTGGCTAAAAGCTAAACTGAAGGAGGCTGAGGGGAGGCTCTGACGTTTGCAAAGCACCTGGATGAATAAATGAAACGTCTACAGAGCAGTGAAGCAGAGACGTTCGGTCTACAGCTGTCGATTTGTTGCAGTACGTGGTTGCGCCACCAGGTGGAGCCTCAGGTGTGTTCGCAACAATTTCTACAATTCTACAGTTTCATTCAGCAGACGCTTTTATCCAAAGCGACGCACATCTGAGAGCGGATACAACACAAGCAAGGATCTAGTCAGGAGGAAACAACCTGGATAAGAGCCACAGAACGAGTTCAGGTGTGTTCGCTGAACGACTCGATGCATAAATTGTAAACCCAGCGCCTCCTCCTGCTGCCTGAAGCTTTATTTACTCATCGTAACCTCCACACTCGGCAATAAAGCTCCGCCGTGTTACCTTGTAGTGCTGCAGCAGGTGGTGGCAGGGCGTCGGACTGTCCTGGTACAGGTGAGTCAGCGTCATCATGCCCAGCTTCTCCGCCAGCTTCTTCCAGGGAACGTCTCCGACACTCAGCACCTCCACCAGCCGGGACAGAGTGTCCTCGTCCAGCCCCGACGCCTCCAGAGCTGCGGGTTCAGGTTAGACAACGGTTTTATTCTCATGTCTGGAGCTTCGTTATCTGACTCGTTAGTGAGCTTAGAAGTGTTTATTCAAGAGTCGGAACCTTCAGGATAAGGAGGAGGACAAACGAACCTTCGCTGCTGCTCGGTTTGATCTTCTTGCTGCTGTGACGACTCCACTTGGCGCTCTGTCTGGAGTTCAGCAGGTTCCTCACCTGAGGAGACGAGACGAGGAGCTTTACAGACAGGAAACAGGAAACTGGAACCGAAGCGCCACAAAAACCCAACAGCTTCCAAACGGTTCAACAACGGGTCTGGTTCAGCTTGTTTTGCGTCTCTGAGCTGATTTGTCTTTTCTTTCTTTCTTACACATAAAATGACCAGAAAAGAGACGCAAAGCAGCTCCAGAGAATTTTTTTTTGTTTCTGTTTTACGTCTGTTTGAGCTCATTTCCTGTCGTTTTGTGTTTGTTTCTCGTCTCTTTGCATCAGTTTGCAGAGAGAAGCAAAACAACCACAAAGAAAACTAAACAAACTAATTCTCGTGTTGCCCGTTCTGCGTCTCTCTGCACACATTTCTGTGCTCATTAAGTGTCTGCGTTTGGTTTGTGTTTTTTCTCTTTTTGCACTGGTTTTGGTCTCATTCGTTTTGTGTTTGTTCCTTTTGCGTCTATTTGAAACCTCAGAGGGAGACACAACCACAAAATACAAAACGGTTCAAAACGACCACAAAAGAGACGCAAATCAAGCACAGAGACACAAATCGCAAAACTAAAAGTCTTTAGTGTTCATTTTGCACATCTTTGTGATCATTCTGTAGCGTCATGTGCTTTTATTTTGAAGGCACTACTGGCTACCTTCTGACATTTGCCGAGGCTCACCACCAAATATGCGAAACAACCATGAAAGAAATGCAAAAAGACCAGAGGGAGACGCAAAACAGCAGCAATGAGATGCAAAACTAGAAGTCTTTTGTGGTTGTTGTGCATCTCTTTGTGGTAGTTTTGTGTCTTTTTGTGGTCGTTTTGCACCTGCAGACCTTTAAATATGTTTGAAGCCACCACAGAGATGCCAAACAACCACAAAGAGCTGCAAAACGTAGAACTAGAAGTTCGTCTCTTGATGGTCATTCTGCAGCGTCACATGCTTTTATTTTGAAGGCTGCTACCTTCTGACACTTGGCCAGGTCCAGAGCTGTGTGTCCTCCTGCGGGTCTCTTGCGAGGGTTGACGGCCGGCGAGGCGGCGTCCTCTCTGACGGCTTCGTCCTGGTCCTGCTCTTCGTCTGAGGAGGAGCTGAAGAAGAGCGGCTCGTCGTTCTCCATGTTTTTATCGGCGCCTGAGGAGGAATCCACGTTGGGTCACCTGTCTGCTGCGTGTGTGTGTGTGTGTGTGTGTGTGTGTGTGTGTGTGTTTGTGCGTCTCACCTGCGGCGATGAGCATCGAGCAGAGCGTCGGCGAGCCCAGGCTGGCCGCCAGGTGCAGCGGCGTGTTTCCTCCGAACGTGCAGGCGTTGACGTCGGCCTTCAGCTGGAAACACAGACAAACAGGTGTGATGATGTCACTGTGTCTGAAGCCCCGCCCCCTTACGCCACACACCCCCGCTGTGATTGGTGGTTACCTCGGTGATGAGGGTGCAGGCCACCTTGAACAGGTTTTCTCTGACGGCCAGGTGCAGCGCCGTGTTGCCGCTCTTCTGCTCAGGCGCGTTGATTTTGGCTCCGCCCTCCACCAGCAGGCGGAGGCAGCGCTCGCCGTCCCTCCTCACGGACAGGTGCAGCGGGTGGAGGCCTGACGGAGACCAGCAGAGTTTACTAAAGTGTTTCAGGTAACTTCATCCATCTGATGCTTTAAAAACCAGAAAGTCACATTTTCTATAAAGCTCCACTACGGAGGCCCAGTGGTGCCTCAACTCATCTACACTTGTTTTATTTCTGCACTTTAAAAATTTATTTTGAAACTGACCTAAAGGTTTTATTTTTTTGTCTTAACAAGTTGTAATTGACAAACATTCAGTTGCTGTCAAAGTTCTGACCTGAGATTTCTTAAATATGAAAAACTTTGATGTAACTTTTTCCTTAAATGATTAAATCCAGATTTTAACTTCTTCTATTTATTTTATTTAAACATGTTTTTATAAATGGTGTGTGACAACTTCTCCTTCACTTCGGCTCGTCGTCTCACCGTGGTAGTCGGGGGTGTTGACCAGGTGGGCGTGGCGTTCTCCCAGGTGAGCCAGTAGGAGGCGCAGCGTGCCGTGGTCTCCGGCCAGCGCCGCCAGGTGCAGGGGGCTGCGGCCATCTTTGTCCGGCAGGCTGGGGTCGGCCCCCGCCCTCAGCAACACCTCCACCACCTTCACCTGCCGGGTGATGACCGCCAGGTGGAGAGGAGTCTGTAAAGGGGGAGGAGTCAGAGCTCAGGTGAGTCACACACAACGACGACAGCGTTTACCACAACAGGGAGCTAAAGGCCTCAACTTCCCACAGAGTTCTATTCATCTACAAGGAGACCAGTGACCAAGTCTAAGCTCACAGCAGTTAAAATCACTTCATTCTACACGTCTTTACTTTTTACTCTCAACAGATTCAGTAAAAACTCAAATGTTTTATGATGCTCACTTGGAAAAATAAGTAATCTAAGAAAGTCAAGTTTCTGTTTTTATAATTCGGCATTTTAAGCAAAAACAGCCACATCCAGAATGTGTTGGAGCTCAGAGAATGACCCGTGTAGCTCTGAGTGAACTGAGCTGAGCGGTGTGGACGGGTCCAGGTGGACCACTCTGCTGCCAGCGCTGGTTCTGTCTCTACCTGCTGCAGGTGGTTGGTGGTGTTGAGGATGAGCTGCTGCTGGCTGCTGAGCAGAGTGTGGATGAGCTGCTGGATGACGGCGCTCTGCTGGTGGATGATGGCCAGATGTAACGGACTGCGAGGAGACAAGAACCGCCACAGCGTGAGAACACAAGTCTGAGGTCACATTCACACGACGTCCTGAAGCTGTGAGTGAACAGAGTGAGGACTGACGTGTCTCCGTTGCTGTCCTGGATGCCGCACAGGTGTCTCTGGATGGCCAGGAGGACCCGGGCGTCCCCGGTGCTGCAGTACTGCAGCAGGGCGGCGGCCATCTGCCGGGCGCTCTGGGAGGCTCGGCTGTTCAGGGTGGCGGCTGGAAGGTGGAGCAAACAGTCAGACATCATCATCATCATCAGCAGCCAGTCTGATAGAACAAGCTGAAGGTCAGCGTACCGATCTGGAAGAGCTGCTGCTGCAGCGGAGAGCCCGTCTGGCCCTCAGACCGCTGCTGGGTCACACCTGCCTGAGGGGCGGAGCCTGACATCTGAGCCCCTCCCCCTCCACCGAAGTTGGTGAAGCCGCCAGTATAAAAGCCTCCAGTTCCTCCACCTCCAGCTCCGTTCAACTGCTGGTGGAACGGGAATCCTGTCAAAATAAAGCGTCAGGCGTGAGCAGAATGATTTTATGAAACACAACCCAGTTCACAAAATGAGGTTTTAAGTAGTTAAAACAGGATTCTACACAATAAAAGCCTGATCCCCGTCAACTAAACCAGGATTCTACACAATAAAAGCCTGATCCCCATCAACTAAACCAGGATTCTACACAATAAAAGCCTGATCCCCGTCAACTAAAGAACGACTCTACGTGACACAAGCATGTTTGCTAGCAGTTAAAGATTCTAGACAATAAAAGCAGGATTTTAAACTAAGAGGTTTCCTAAAAATCCACTTTTTGTGAGCAGTAAGAGTATTTATATGACTGATTGAGTCTAAACCTCGTCAGCCAGGAGGAAACGTGAGCAGCGATCCTGTGATCCTGCGGCTCGAAGCCTCATTCTGCAGCAAACACGCTCCTTTTTCATGTTGCTCTTTGGAAATCCCCACTTCTAATGCTGCTGTTGATTCTCATCTAAAGTTAAAATCCCTACCTCCTCCTCCTCCTCCAGCTCCTCCTCCAAATCCTGCAGCTCCTCCACCTCTTCCTCCTCCTCCTCCTCCTCCTCCTCTCCAGGGTTCGTAGTGAGGCAGCGGCTTCTGCTTCTTCCTCAGCACCTCCTCTTTGTCTGCAAGAGGGCAGAAGGTGGAAACTGAAGCTGGGAAACTCGAAGCTCAAAAGCAGGAGTGGGACGACGGTTCTGTTTCTCTTTATTTTCATGATCCTGCCGCATGACGAACGTCTGAACGAGTAGGTGAGGACTGAAACTGGGTGCAGACGGTTTCCACTGAGGGAAAAACCAAAAACTGCAACCTTCAACCCCAAAAACAAACACCTTCCTGGCAGCCTCACCGGGGTTTTCACAGCTCGTTAAAGCGTCTCATGCTCACCTTGGACCTGGGGGATGTAGGTGAACTGTTTGGGGTCGCTGCTGTCGCCGGCCTTCTTCCTCCTCAGCTGCAGGAAGACGGTGACGGGACGCTCGATCTCTGTGCTGTGATAGGCCGGCGTCTTGAACACGATGGCGTACTGAGGAGAGGATGGAGATTCATATGAGAGATGCAAACACGTCTCAGCTGCACCCTGCGAGCTCGGCTGGTTGTTCTTGTTCTGTATTTGTTCACAATTATTAAATCTGTGCTTTTAAAAGGAGCTGAATTAGCTTTTAAAATTCTGGACTTCTGTGCAACATTCACTAGAACAGATGCTGCACATTTATTGTTCATTATCGATAATATTCTGTGCAAAATTTATGTCATTTATGTCTCAAGCAGGTTCTGAACGGTGCCATTTCTCGGCTTTGCAAATGTTTGTTTACTTTAAGTCTGAAGAATCTCATCAAAAACGATGATTTTAATTCCAGGAAGCAGCAAATATGTCACCAAAACTATTCCAGGAACAATTTTCCCCCTAAAAATGAGAAATATTTATATTTTTTTCATGGCTGCAGCTTCTCAAACAAACAGTTAAAAACCAGCAGCAGTAAAATGCTGCTTTACGTGGATGCATCTGTGATTTGGACGTTAATCTTAATAGTTTGTGTAAAGTTTCCTGATTTTAATACATGACATTTGTACATCTTTCTTCAGAGCGAGAGCTTTCCAACGGACCTTAAACTACTTATTATGCATCCTGCAGGTTTGCACCAGATTCAGGATGCAGCCATGAAGCCATGATGTGACCAGAGTTTGACTTTATTGATTGTTAATTGATCTGCGCTGAGAGGAAATGCAACAGAAATGACAGTGAGCCTCTTTTAAAACCTTTTAACTGCACACGTCTGCTTTTAAAGATTCATTAAGTTGGTTTAAGACGGCAGAATAACATCAGACTGACTGAGATTAACCTTAAACCTGGATTAAGTTCTGATTTATAGAACTCTGTCACACATGAGACAGCTTCAAACGTCTATCTGAATCTTTTCTTGAGTTATTTCCTCTCTGACCTGGATCTCTGCTGCTCCCAACTCAAAGTCACTTTTCTTTTTAGTTCAAGCAGCTTCAGAGGTCAAGAAATGACTTTAAAGCTAAAATAGACTGATGAGAAAATAACTCTCATGTTTGTTTGAAGCGACAGTCACAACACAGTTAGCTTAGCATTGCTAGCTTAGCATTAAGATTGGAAACAGCAGTTTGGCTGCAAAACCCACCAACCAGCACCTCTAGAGCTCAACGATGAGCACGTCATGCTGCTTAAAAACTAAACTTTTATCATCAGACTATTTTACAATCTCTTGATCCTTTAAGATGTAGTGTTCTGCAGAAACACCCTCCACCGTGTGAGGTTTACGGTATTTTATTTGTCCTACAGAGGAAAACACTGTGTTGTAGCTCCGCAGACGTTTTGTTCGTGAGTGAAAGATTTATTTATGTGCAGCTTTGTATCAGTCTGAAGGAATTTCCCCGTTCAGCTTCTCTCTGCTGCTGCTGTTATGGTTTCAAAACATTTATCTGTTCCTGGATGAAACTGACGCACTGAGAGTGACTCATTCATGCTCGTGTTCTGGCTCGAATCAACACTCTGCAGAGCTGCAGCCGAGACGAGTCGCAGCAGCTCCGGGACGAAAACAAGTCAGAGTCCCAAAGGATTCGAGTCTAAGTCATGATCAAGTCAAAACCAAGTCCCACAGGAGTCGAATTTAAATCCAAAAGGATCTGAGTCCAGGTCAACAACGAGTCCAAAAGACGCCGAGTCTGACTCAAGAAGGACTCCAAACAGAGTCGAGTCAGAACTGAGTCTGAAAGGCATCAAGTCTGCGTCAAGGTCAAGCTCGAAAGAGGCTCAGAACGAGTCCAGAAGGAGTCAAGACCAAGCATGAGTCAAAACTAAGGGGAGTCAGAATCAAGATGGAGCTTAAAAGGTGACGAGTTTGAGAACAAACGGGTTTAAGCACAAGTCAGCAGCGAATCCAAAAGGAGGCAAGTCCAAGTCCAAAAGAAGAAGTCAAGTCCAAGTCAGCATTGAGTCCAAAAGAAGTCAAGTTGGAGTAAAGACCAAGTCCAAAAGAAGTCAAGTCCAAGTCCGAAAGGAGTCGGGACTGAGTGGAGACAGAGTCCGATAGAAGTCAAATCCAAGACACGGCTGAGTGTTAAAAACAAAAAAAGACTTGAGTCCGAGTCCAAAAGAAGACAAGTCTGAGTCAAGATGGAGTCCAAAAGGAGTCAAGTCCAAGTCAAGACAAGTCCAAGACGAGTTGAGGCCAAGTGCAAACTGAGTCCAAAAGGAGTCTAGTCTGAGTCAAGACCAATCCAAAGGAACTGAGTCCTAAAAGAGTCGAGTCCAAATCTAGAAAAAGTTGAGATGGAGTCCAAACAGAGTCAAAGCCAAGTCCAACAGGAGACACGGCTGAGTGTAAAAATAGTCGAGTCCAAGTCCAAAAGAGAGTCTGACTCAAAAAATCCCCCAAAAGAAGACAAGATGGAGTCTTAACAGTGTCTGGCCGAGTCCAGAACAAAGAAGAACGTTTCCTGTTCAGTCTGAGAACACAAACAGAACCAGTCCTGCTAATTTCACAAAGCTGGTTTTATTCAAACCCTCCGAGTCAAGTCTGAGCTCATAAAAGAAAACATCTGGAGGCCGAAGCCGAACACGCAGAAACACTCGGTACCTGTTTGTGAACGTCGGTGGGCGAAAAGTCTCCGAACGCCTCCCAGCATCCTTCTTCATCCTCCTCATAGAAACGGATCTCGATGTCGTCTGAGGGGCGGAGCAACAGTTATAAACAACAACAACCAGAAGAAAGACAACAGATATTAACGTGTTCATCCAGAACATCGGAGAGGACAAATGTTCTCACCTTTCTGGACTTTGTCGCAGAGCAGGAAGATCTCGTCTCCTCCGAGGACGGAGCCACAAGTCTTATCCATCCGAGAGATCTTCAGGTTGGAGGCATTCGGCGACTCTGCAGGTGAAAGATTTTCAGCTTAGGTTTAGGTAAACGAAGCATTCAAGGACAGTTGGAAAGTTAAAAACCCGATGATTCTTTCTGTGTTACTGATAAATTGGGTAGTTTTCGGCAGGTTTTGTGGTTCAGATGGTTAAATAAATCATCATCCGTTAGCGATGGAGCTAACGAGGTACGTTGATCAGACGAGGACTCACTGCTGTCGTAGATGGGGTTGGAGACGACGGGCTTCAGCGCTCTGGTGAACGCTCCGTTGCTGTCCTGCAGGTAGGCGGTGAACTTGAGCCTGACGATGTTCAGGTCCATCACCTTCCCGAGCTCCTTGGCCTCCTTCTGGATGGACGATTCCTCAGAATCTGCAGCGAACGTCGACCGTTAGTTCTTTAAATCTGCGCCTCTAGAACCCCGATGAGAGCCACGAGGCCTTGAAGTGTAGCTGTTACACCGTTAGATATTTATAAAGCTTAAAGTCTAAAGTTGATAATTCCAAAGTATGACAAGTTAAGACATTTTTACCACCAAAGGCGGTACTACTGACACTTCCAATCACACATAGATCTGAATATTTCTTCAACCACGACACCTTTTGGCATCAGAAATATGATTTTTTTTAAAAAAATTTTTACAGTGTGTTCAGGTCCAGGTGTGTTTGTACCTGTCAGGTGATAGTGAGCTCCTTTCTGTCTCTTCCTCTCTTCTCTCAGCCTCCTGGTCAGAACCTCGACGACACCTTTCTTGGTCACGTGAAGGATTCCCAGATTACTGAACCTGCAGAAAATGACGCCGACATTTTGCATCAATATCAGCATTTTACATCCATGATATCAACTGGAACAGCTTCACTTCACAAATCATTAAACAAATAAATGAAGCATCATTTTTATAGATATTCTGCATTTTTACAGTTGTATGTAGTACAATTTAATCTAACAATTTTTGATATTTAACCTCTAATAAACTCTGTTTTCACCGTTTCCTGTTCTGACCCTGAGCTAAAAAACTAAATTCTGCTTTTCCCCCTTTGGAGCTTCAGGATGCTGTTTTTTTATTTCTGCTTGGAGCAGCGACGTGATTGGATACTCACGAGGCGGTGAGGTCGTTGGGCCCGATGTCGAGCGTGCACGTGCCGTTCTCGGTGCAGTGGCGTCCCACCAGACTGTGGGCGTGGACGCGAGGGGGGTCGGTGTGGGTCACCAGCTGGACCTCCACCCGGGCGTGACCCACGTAGTTGTTGATCTGAGGCGCAGGAAGAAAACGATTTCACTAAATAACAACAGGAAGCTGCAGGGATTCAACTCTGACCTCTAGGGGGCAGCAGAACCAGCCGTAAACCACACTTACAGTTTGTTTCCATGTAAACAAGCTCCTCAATAACCCAAATGAACGTCTGAATCACACCAGCGCTGCTCTAAGAATCATTAGCAGCCTCTGAACTACAAATGTGTGAAATTACAAGTTTAGAAAAGCGGCTGTTGTTCTGTGGTGACTAAAAATATCTTCCAACGCTGCCTCTGGTTTTATTACAGCAGTTAAAGCCATGAAGCGTGCTGCTGTGATGTTTATTTAAGGTTTAAATTAAAGAATTATGTGAAGCAAACTAAAAGAAATGTGTTTAGTGAATCAAGCCGATGTTTGTTGAGTGTTGTGGAGCCTCAATGAATAATAATTCAATTGCAATTTTTTTGATAATCAAGTAACTGGTCTCTAAGCTGAACATCTTTGGACAAAACGAGACCCTTGAGGACGTTTTCTTGGGTTCTGGGAAACACCAACCACAATATTCTGACATTTTATAGCCCAAACAGCTGATGAATTAATTTAGAAAACAGTCAAATAATCTCGTGCTGTAGCTCCAGAGTGCCGTCGCCCACCTTCACGGTCGGGTAGGTTCTCCTGTTCTTCTCGCTGGAGGCTCCCGGCAGCCCGCCGTGTGACGGACCCTCGCACTCATAACGGAAACGAAACCCCCTCTGGAGACACACAAACACAGCTGATGATGTCTTTATCTGCACACAGATATCTGGTTGTAGAGCGAATGACGACCTGCTTCCATCGTCTACGTTTCCTTCTATTTTTATAGCCGCCACAGAATCAGGGTGTGACACAACACAGAGCACAATTTGACACGTTTTTCATGATCAAACCACAAATGTACTGATATTTATACCATTTATACGACATTTTAGCTTTTCTTCAGTAAACAACAATTTACATATTTCCAAGTTCTACTACTGTGTTCTTCCACTTCACTGTATTTCAGTGGAGAATGTTGAACTTTCTACTCCTTCACATTTATCTGATGTGTTGTTTTTTTAAGATGCAGATTTGACATAATGGATGTAGTCTTAATCCTCTGACCCTCCAAACTCATCAGCGGGTTGGAAAAGCAAGTTACCTTCTAAAACAAACAGTAAAATATAAAATAAAATCACAAACATTCCTCCATTTTTAAACTTTCCAACAGTCCTGTAACTGATGCATATTGATTCAAGGTGGGTTTTAAAAAGATTTAATCAAATAAATTCAGCTTTTGTGGCTTATTTTAAGAGTTATGGCATTATTTCTTTTTCTTCCTACTGCACAGAAGTCTAGTCCTGGTTGTTCTGTTTCCATAGAGGGGCAGGACTTTATGATGCAGTGAAAAATGAGCCTATATTGAATAAAAACGTGACTTAGAAAAAAGCCCAGAAACTGTTTGGAGATCAGAAGGTTAAAATACAACCCATAGTTAAAGATTAAACTCATGATTTCCAACTGGCTTCCATTTCACATGTCAACAGCTCAGACTTGTTGTTTTGTTCTGGTGCCATGATGAGGTGAGCAAACCCGCCTCCTTGTGTCTAACCTGTACGATAAAGTGTTTTGATCCGGTTTACGGGTCGGATCTCAGTCCTCGCCTGCTGTTGTCTCCTGACTGCGCTTTCATTCCTGATTGTTTCATTACAGATTTCCACCCCTGCGTGGAAAACAAACTGAGAACGTGCGTCACCGCCGTTACTTCTGGTTGTGCAAACCGGCTTCTTCTGATGAATTTACATACAGGCGGTGCCACATGACCTTTAGCGTCAGAAACTCCCTGACTTCTTGCACACAGTCCCATGTTGTTATGACTGTTGGGAAAACCCTGGATAGAAGGACTGTTACAGCAGCATGTGGATCCACCTGCTCAGGGGGAAACCCCGTTCTGACTGATCTGGATGACTGCAGCGCTCAGTTCCCACTAAATATTGTTTAAGAGTAAACAGCTGAGGGACTAATATTGATCCCTGTAGAACACCGACATTACCGACACTTCCACTTGAAAGTCAGCTTTGTTTTACCTTTTCACAGTTGATTCGACGCTGCAGGACACAACAACACTCAAATGTAAAGTAGCTACACGGTCAGAAACTAGAACATTAGTCTCACCTGTTTGGGTTCTTCGATGATCTGGATGTACGGACCGTGAGCTGAAACACAAGCAAAGCAGATGTTAATGATGTGGACAGAAACCTTTAGTCACTGGATTTCATCGTCCACTTTCACTATTTCACCAGCAACATTTTACATGTACAGAAGGCAAAAGAAGTGGTTTTCCCATGAGTTAGTTCTAGATTTTGTAGCTCTAGGCTCCCAGGTGCACTGGTGGGCTCTGCCACTTTGAGAAAATGTTGGTTGTGTTCCAGTGAAAGTGCGAAATGAGTTGGTTTCGTTTCCAAGTATGAATAAGAGATCATAAAACAGGTAGGTTGGGTATCTGATCTTTGCTACATCGGAAATATCTGCACTACCTGAGATTAAAGGCAGAAAACACTAAATAAAAGCGAACAAGGCAAGATTCTACAAAGACTCAAGGACAAAGATTAGAAACTAAAGAATTGTCAGTCTGGGTTTCAAGTTCTGGTTTAAATGTTGGACCGTGTTTCCAGGTAAGAATAAGAGAGTGTAGAAAAGAATAAGATTTGTACCACAAAAGTCAAACATCCCTGGTTTTGGCTCAGTCTATCTCTATTTGAAATTAATGGTCCAAAACACTACTGAAAGGTACCAAGACAAGATTCTAGAAAGACTCAAAGACTGGACAAAGATTTGAGATTTGTCCAGATGACTCAAGAAACTTAATAACAGAAAGTTCTTAAGATTCATCCAGTTCTAATAGAGGATTCAAAACTTGACTTTAATCTGTCTCCAGGTGCAAACAAGGTTGTTCTTTGATGTACAGTTAGTGGAGTCTGTTTCCCAAACACTGGTGGGCACTGCTGCTGCGGGAAGTCATTGGGCTGGTTGCGGTAAACGCGTCTAGAAATGTCTCAGTCTTCGATTCCAGGTATGAATAAGTGTTAAAAAAGACAATCTGCATATTGGGGTGACACCTGCGGTTAACAGTTAAGATGCTGACCGCGAATCTCAACATCAATGGTTTGGATCCAGCCGGCAAGACTGAAAATTCTGACTGTGAAAGACCAACATTCCTGGTTTGGATCCAATCAGGGACCTTTTTTTTTAGATTGGAAATATCTATACTGGCTGAAATTAAAGGCACAAGGATAGGTTTCAGAAAGATTCAAGGACTGGACAAAGATTTGAGACTCTAGACGACTCTAGAAACTGGTACCACACCATCAGGGAACAAACATCACTTTTAGCTCACACATACGAACAGAAAGTTCTCAGGATTCATCTGGTTCTAGCTCAGGGTTTAAGGTTTAACCTGCCTCCAGGCGCAAACAAAGTTATACTTTAATTTAGAGTTTGTTGACAAACAAAAATCGTTTTCCCAAAAACCGGTGGCCTCCGTTGCTTCGAGAAAATCTTTATCAGCTTCCAGTAAAAGCATCTTGAAATGTCTCAGTCCTCGATTTCAGGTATGAATCAGTGACTGTTAAAAAAGACCCTCGGTGTATCGGGGCGACACCTGTGGTTAATGGTTGTGATGGAAACCCCAACATCCCTGGTTTGGATCCAGCCAAAGAGAATTGAAAAAATAAGTCTACTACCTGAAATTAAAGGCACAAATTTCTATAAAAACCTACCAAGACATGGTTTTAGAAATATTCAAACACTGGAACAAAATACTCAATTAAAGTCCAAGACAGGGTTCTACAGAGACTCAAGGACTGGACAAAGATGTGAGACTCTTCTGGTTTATTCTTCAAGTTCTCGTAAAAGCGTCTGAAATGTGCTAGTTCCCGTATATGAATAACAGATTGCAGAGAAGTTATGTTGGGTATGAGGGCATTCCCCCTGTGACTAATGATTAAGACCTTCACTGTGTCCAACATTCCTGGTTTGGATCCAATCAGGGACCTGTTTCTAGTTTGGACATGTCTATACTGCCTGAAATTAAAGGCACAAAACACTACAAAAAGCTTGGAGGATAGGTTTTAGAAAGACTGGACAAAGATTTGAGACTCTAGAAATTGGCACCAAACCATCACTTTTAGCTTCCAAACTAAAAGAAAGTTCTCAGGATTAACCTGGTTCTAGCAAAGGATTCAAGGCCCAACCCGTCTCCAGGTGCAAGCTCGGTTATACTGTAATATGGAGTTTGCGGACAAACAAATCTGTTTCCCAAACACTGGCGGGGTTAGGATTTATGACAACAGCGGTCTGGTTCTGTTAAAAGAACCAGTCTTGAAATGTCTCAGTCCTTGATTCCAGGTATGAATAGGAGATGGTAAGAAGAGACAGTTTGCGTATTGGGGCGACCCCTGTGGTTTATAGTTTAGATGCTGACCGCAAACGGCAAATTCCCTGGTTTGGATCCATCCGGGGACATTATTATAAATTAAAGGCATAAAACATTATAAAAAGCTGCCAAGACAAGGTTCTACAAAGACTCAAGGACTGGACAAAGATTAGGGACTGGTATAGTTTTCAGGTTCTGGTAAAAGCTTCCAGCATGAAGACAGGTTTTTGAAAAGTTACGTTGGGTTTGAGGACGCCTCCCTTGTGGCTAATGGGGAACATTTGTTTCACCATGAAAATCAAATGCTGCTAGTCCTAGGCTGGAAGTATCGGTACCGCCTAAACCCAAATGCACAAAATACTATGAAAAGCTTGGAGGCAAGATTCTAGAAAGACTCCAGGACTGGATGAGGATTTGAGGCTCTAGTATTGGTACCAACCAACAGTGAACAAACACCACTTTCAGGTTCCACTCCAGGGTTCATCTGGTTCTTGCAGAAGATTCGAGGCTCGGCGGGATGAATTGTAAGGATCAGATGAACCCCGAGAACTTACTGAGTGGAACCTGAAAGTGATGTTTGTTGGTTTGGTACCAAGGTTCTAGAAAGACTCCAGGACTGGACGAGGATTTGAGGCTCCAGTATTGGTACCAAACCAAACACCACTCACAGGTTCCACTCGGTAACTAAACGTTCTCAGGGTTCATGTGGTTCTTGCAGAAGATTCGAGGGTCGACTGGATGAATTGTGAGGATCAGCCCAGGTGCTAGAGCGGGACTCACCTGTCTCAGGTATGTAGGGCTCAATCTTTATGTCCACCGAAGGGATATAGTCGTACACGTTCAGCTGCAGCTGAGGGACAAAACATATTTCACATCAACATGCAGGCCTGATGGGAACAAATCTCACTTTTAAATCAACCAACATTCAGGAAGTCTTCAGCATTCCGGGGGCTTCACACTCGTCTGCAGTGACTCACTGATCCTCACAAACTGACTCGTCTCTTATCGAAATAATTAAACGATCAATCGGCTAGATATGAATCAGTGAAAACCCCGACAGGATCGGATCCAGTAATCTCTCATCTTACTGCTTCTCTAACAATTGTCAGTTTTTCATCAGTTCTGTTAAATTTATCAGAACTAAAGTCATAGCTGCAGTCATTTTCATCACTGTCGACACATGAACTCTACCGGCGGCTTTGAAAAGACACACGAGCTTTAAAATTGCATTTATAAGATTCCAAAACCTGAAGCGTCAGACTTTTCAGCTTTATAACGGCTGTCGAGCTACTTATGTGTGAGTTTCATCGACTGAAAATAAGCTTCAAGTTGTGATATTTCATCAATATCACTTTATTTCACGTCTCGTTTGAAAATCTGCCAAAAATAAACGTTTGGTTTCCCAGATTTTTAGTAAAAACTGAGCTGACGGTGTTTAAAAATGAGCAAAACGAAGCTGCTTTGAGCTGAAAGGAGTAAAACTCAAAGTGAAGATTGATGCAACGCAAAGCTGAGCTGGTGAAGACGTAGTAAAGACGCACAGAGGAGAAAAGAGGAGCTTCTGAGTGAACTTTGCCTTTGTTTCTGAAATAAACTGGCTTTTGTTCTTACTGAAGCAGGAAACAACGACTTGAAGCTCAAAGTCATTCATGCAAATCGGTTTCAGTCTGCATCACTCAAACACCGGCTTCCTCGTCAAGTGGAAACTTCTCCCGGTCGCTGCTTCTGTCACCGCTGACTCAGTTTTCTACTCTGAGACGCAAAAGCTGATTAAAATCCAGACATTAACTGACTTCATTCATGTCGTTTCATTCACCGGCGCAGCTTCTTGTCTTCGTGCTTTTGGAAATCGAAATCTCGTTTGTGAAAGTTGAGCCAAAACAAAGATATTTTTAGAAACGTGTCCCTGAGCGTCGCAGCAAAAACAAAAACCTTTACATCAATTAAATCAGAATTAAAGACATTCCTCCTGCTTTTCATAGTTTTAAAACTTTTATATCAGAACATTTAGTCGTGGCTTGGCACCTTCACTCGCTCTGTAATAAGAAAAATGTGAATTCAGTTGTAAAAAATGAGCCCAAACTTCTCTATTTCAGTTTTGTTCTAAATTATTAAATCAGTTATTAACCCTCTGAAAACCAAAACCTGCTGGCGAGTTTTAAAGCACGTTTTTTCTTTACATAAATCTCCAAAGTTGCATCAGCCAGAAAGTGTAACGCTGGGCTTTCCGACGGTCTTTGAACTGCTCTCCTGCTCCTCCTGGAAAACCGAACCAGAGTTTAAAATAGTGATGTTTCGGTGAAGTCACGACACACTCTACGTTTCTGGTTTTAGAAATAAACCAGATGGTGTTAAAAATAAATTAATTTAAAATAAAATAAAATAAAAATTCAGAGTTCCTCGCTGCAGCTATGAAATCATGACCGACTCAGTTGTGGCCGACAGTCATGTGACCAAACTTTGGAGATTTCAGCTGAACTGAAGGCTGTGATTCCAGAAAACAGAGGAAAATAAAACAAACTGGATCAACAGAATAAATGCAGCACAGCTCAGAACCAGTGAGCAGAGCAGCCAGTAGCTGGACGATACATCCAGCTGAAGGTGGAACATCTTCCTACATCTCATATGCAGAGTAAAGAGACAAATGCTGAGTTTGTAGAAGCTGCAAAAATGTAAATACAGCGGTGACTTGATAATCCGACACTAAATGTAAAACCTTCTTTTATGTCGGATTGTCAAGACGGAGGTCCAGATACGAGGAGGGCTTGATGATGGAAGGCTCATTAGTTGTTCATCATTGTTCATAGTTGTTATAATAACTAGTGTGTTGTTAGAACACGACGCCTAACTGACCGGTGTGCTGGTGCACGTTCTGACCACTTCCACCCCGGGGCAGCGCTCTGACGGGGTGGAAGTGTCCAGAACACACAGGCAGTACTTGGCTGCTGATGCTAGTTTAGTTAGCGCTCACACTTCTGTTTCCTCCATCGGTGGCGGCGGGGGAGTGGCAGATACGCTCCACCGTTACCATCCATGTTTACTTCCATAAACACTGAGCGCGCTCGCTGCGTGTGACGTCGTCGTGTCCTCTTCTGCGCATGCGGGACACTTTTGGCTCGTATGAAGTTCACACAGCAGATCACATACAAGTCGCATTGAACTGGAAACGTGAAGGAAGTCACAAAGAAATCCTCATTGAGCATCAAGTCCTGCAGTGTGAACGTAGCCAATCTGTGGGATTGTTCAGTCAGATAATACGCCGTCATCCTGATTGGTGACATTAAATGTCATGTCGGAGTCACAATCCAAGGCTGTCGCTATGTTAAGGCTGTTTTTATGGGTTCTGTTGGTTTTTCCTACAAACCTGTCAGATAGCAGGTTTAGGATTGTTAAGGGTCGATTATGGAGTCACGCCGGTTGTTCAATCTTTTTCATATGTAGGGTCACAGTTTTTCCAGAATCCTAGTCGTGGTTGTTGTGTTTCCACGGAGCTGCAGGACTTTATGATCCTACAGCGAGATGAAGCTGCTTCAGAGTTCAGAGGATCAGATGAAGACACGACGACGCTGCTGCTGTAACGTCTCCTTTAGAACACGTTTGTGTGGCTCTGTAATTATTTAGGTGATTAAACGTCTATTTCATGCGTTTTTCTTCCTCTAATAACTCATAATAACAGCTCTGTTGCACATTTTCTCTAAAAGTTCTGCAGCAATGATCCAACTAAACCCTGTTCAGAAGGATTCAGACCAAATGAAAGTCACTCCACAGGCGGTACCAGAATCATCTGAACCTCGTCAGTAACTCAACAGAAACATGAAAACATAAAGCAGAGAACAACTCACCTCGTTGTCGTAGGTGTTGATGAACGGCACCTCAGTCATCCTGCAGCACAAACAAACAAACAAACAAACAAACGGTCAGAGGGTTTAAACCTGATTTACAGTTTACACACAGACACACACTCTTTCTGTGTGTGTGTGTGTGTGTGTGTGTGTAGGTGTGTGTGTGTGGAGGAAACACTCGTTCAAACAACCTGAATCACTTCAAATCTTCTCGTCTGTCGCGGCTGAAAGTCCCGACGAAGAAAAAAAAGAAAAACAACAAACAAACAAACTGAATCTGAAGCGGTTTCACTTTCACATGACGGACGATCGAGCCTCAAACACAACAGCTCCTCTCTCTCTCTCTCTCTCTCTCTCTCTCTCTCTCTTTTCTTTTTTTTCTCCCGCCCTCTCTCTCTCTCTCTCTCGCTCGCCCTCTCTCTCTCTCCCTCAGTGTGTCTCGGTGTCGTTCGACCCCCCTCCCTCCCCTGTCCGCATGTTTTCAGTCACTTCCTGGAAGTGGCGAGTCGAGGAAAACCCCCAGAATCCCAGACCAGCGCTGAGGGGGCGGAGCTACCGGTGATGATGTCACTGCTGCTGCTGCTGCTCACGATAAAGGAACAGACTGAAGAGAAAAACTACAAAAACAGACCAAAGAGAGAAAAAAACTACAGACTGAAGACAAAAGAAACTACAAATATGGACTCATGAGAAAAAACTACTTCAACACCGACGGAAAAGAAAGAAACTACAAATACAAAGAGGAAAAAATAAATAAAATACTGACTGAGAAACACAAAATATAGAGTTATATAGTGACTGAAAAAAATAATAAAACATGCATGGGGGAAATTAAAATATAGACTAAAAGAATAAAAAAAATACTGATTTAAACAGAGAGAAAACAATGTAGACTTAAAAAATACAGACTAAGAAAATTAAAAGAAAAATAATACAAAATTAACAGGAAAAATAACAATAAAAACACAGCGAATTAAAAGCATAGAAATACAGCCTGAAAAAATAAATTGTTAAAAATAAATATTTTAAAAATACTAACTGGGGAAAAAAAACAAAAACCAGAATTTCTGCTTAACTGGAGGAAATTCTTCCACTCCACCACCGTCCTGCAGCACAGAGCCCAAACACAGCAGCTACGCATCTTATAAAAACTGAGTTATGACCAGAATCTAACTATCACACATAAAAACAGCTGCAGCACGAGGAAAAAGCATGAACACTGGACAAGAAAATAAAGATTAAAACTGCAGGTTCGCTAAGCTGCTAGCCGTTAGCCTCAGCTGAAGCTAACTGTTTCCGGGAAAGTTCTGGTGGTTGAGCAGGTTAAGACAAACCGCATACAGAAGACAGAAGCTGAACCAAAATGGAGAAAATGCAGGTAGAAGCTAATAAGCGTAGCATCGGACAACCTGTGCAGCCTTCAGCTCTGATAGAAATGATGTCAGTTAATGCAGTTAAACACCTTGACATCAAGTGTTCAGACACAACAGGTGCACAGTCCCACACAGTGGGTCACAACCAGCCTATAAAGGTAGTTAAATAAAGTTTTAGAAGTTGCATATCTGTCATAGTTTGGTTCTAAAAGAACATCATTTTTCTCAGCTGTACTGCTCGTGAGGCAGCAACAATCTCATCTCAGACGTTTTATCATCTGCATGTTTTGTTCATCTTATCCTCTAACAGAAAGAGTTTCACTTCAACATTAACAACAGAAAACAGACTCGACATGAAGCAGCACGTGAAGCTGAAAGCCTCCAGAACACCGACCTGCAGCCGAGTTAAAGGTCCGAGTTGTGAGTTAATCTGCAGCAGCGCCGACCTGACGTCTCAGGCTCCGCTCTCCACTTCCTCTTTGCTCAACTTTTCTGCCTCTCTGGTGGTTTTTACTTCTGGCTTCCTGTGAGAGTTCAGCTTATCTGAGAAAAAAACCCGTCACGCATAGCGACCTGACTCAGATCCGATGTGATGAGCAGCGCTGGGGCGGCCCCCTCCGACGACGCCAGCCAATCAGGCGGCAGCAACAACGGCTTAATTAACATAAAATGCACAGCAAGTAGAGTACGAGCGAAGTGAGGAGAAAACCCGAGGGGGAAGTCAGCAGGAATCCACAGAGGTGATTTTGCTGCCACTTTCCCTGAACACCAGTCATGTTTCTGTTTACCTGTCGGCTGACGGGTTGCATCATCTGAATGTCCTGTGATCAGAAAAAACACCTGAGAGACTCACCGTCCTCCACAGGTACACAGCAGCTCACCTAAAGGTCTCTACGTTTAACCCTCTGAACCCCAAAAAGCTGCCGTCTGGCTTGAAGGAAAAAAAACACCAAAACTACAACATTGATCAGAACGAGGAAGCACAAGAGCTGAACCAAACCTCTGCTGAAAATCAGAGCGTTTCACCACAATCACTTCAAAAATCACCAAAAATGTCCCGTTTGCTGTAACTGCATTCTGTAAAAAACAAAAAATTCAGCATTTATCAGCACAACAGTGAAGCCGTTCATGACACAACGAACAACGAACAGTCACGTGAGAAAAATGCTGCGAGTTCTCGACTGAACTGCAGGCAGTGTTCCTACATGGATTAGAGAAACGTATGGAGGGAAACTAAAGACATAAGGAGTAAATAGAGCTGCTGTTCTGTTATCCAGTATAAACATCACCCTGTGGGCACTCGGAAGACTGTCGTACGAGCTGATCCCGTTTTTTTAAATTTTCTGAGGTAATTTTGTGAAATAAATAATCAAGAAAATTCAACACTGTAAAATTATTTTTTTAAATAAATAAAAAAAATAGAAATGAAAAAAATTAACAAAAAATAACATAAATACATTTTTTAAATAATTTTTAAAAATAAAAAATAAATTAAAAAATTAAAAAATAAATAAAATATTCTTATTTTTATTATTTCATTTATTTGTTTTTATATTTCTACTTTTATTAACCTTTTTATTTTATTTATTCTTCTTTTTATTTCCACTATTATTTTATTATTCTTTTACTGATTTATTTTTGTAATTTGGCGCTCTCTCTACTCTTGACTGTTTTCTGATTCATTCTGAGAACAACGAAAAGTCAGAAAACAACGGAAAAAGCTCGTCACAAGTCAAAAGGTGTCGCCCCCGATCGATTAAAAGATAAAAGAGTCAACATAAAATCATTAATTATTAATACAGAAAACACCCACAAGCTGCTGAAGGTTCAGAGGATTCATCAACAAACACTGAAAACACACAAACGCTCCCACATCCATAAAAACACACAAAACTGTAGAAAACCTTCATCTGCATCAAATATATAAAATATAGAATAAAACCAGTTTGCCTGCAGCGAGCTCCACAGATATGTTTAGAAAATGCAAAAAACAAAAATCGTAAAGATATTAAAATTAAATCCAGAGCTTGAAGTTTGTGACGCCCTCGATGCAGCGGCGCCCCCTGCTGGCTCTGTTTTCATGTAAACAAGTTGTTTATTTGCCCAAACTAACATCTGTTTCACACAAACGCAGCTGTTTGGTTACAGCCGAGAGCATCACGTGGACAATAAGTGACGTTTATCGAACGACTAGCTCTTAAAGTTTCACCACTTTTACAGGTCAGACTGGATTTCGACGCTCTTGTGGACAGAAAGTGTGAAAACAGACTAACATGTGAAACGAGAACAGGTTTGTGAATTTAATTTAAAAGGAAATTTTAAAAATGTGACACATTTGTGTCTTTGTTTTTGCTGCTGTTTTAATACATCTGTTTATTACATTTTAATCAGAAGTGTTTGCGTGGAGGAGGTGAGCTGGACGTGTTTCCTCTGCAGGTGATGAACCAACACGCAGATATAACGTCTGCAGATACGACACGAGAGCCTGAAGACAAACCGCTGAAAACCCAAAGAGCGTCACGGCTTTTGCTCTCTGCAGCTGTTTTCACAAATAAAGCCGACTTCGAGCTGTTAGTCACCGGCTGCTGGTTGTCACGGCGACACAACACAGACGAAGCTGCCGGCTGATTGGTCGCGTCTGGATCGTTTTAACTTTGTCCAGAACAGCCGGGAACCAATTATTCCTTCAGACAAAGTTCTGATAAAGACGGAGAAATAAACTGTTAAACGAGTGGCTGAATCTCCAGAGTGGCATTAGTGGGACGTTAAGTTTAACCTGCTAGATCACCATGGTAACAGATGCTGCACAGCTAACGGCTGGAGCCTATCCCAGCTGACTCAGGGTGAAGGCAGGTTCACCTGGACAGGTAACCAGTCTATCACAGGGCTACACTTAGAGACAGACAACCAAGCACACTCACATTCACACCTACGGACAATTTACAATCACCAATTAACCTCAGCATGTTTCTGGACTGTGGGAGGAAGCCGGAGAACCCGGAGAGAACCCACGCTGCACGGGGAGAACATGGAGACTCCACGCAGAAAGATCCCGGGTGTTTGTTAGTATTTATTACAGAGACGTTCCCAATCAGTCGCATTAATCTCACTTTATTTGGCTAAAAACTAAAGAGACAGCATTCAGGTCTAAATGCTCTCCGATATGACATCACGTCTAAAGATGTGACGTTTAAAGTTTCAGAGCAGCTGAGTCAGAAGTAAAGATAATAACTGACACGATGAACAGCCTTCAATCAGCTGCTGTAGCTGCTCTTTATCACCATCAGCTCTTCTCAACCTGTTCCTCTGACTCACACAGGATTCGTGCAGAAAAAGAGTCACGCTTTAAAGAAAGTGTTCAACATGATGCTTATCAGCTTTTAGGATTTGTTGAGCTAAGAAAAGCCTGGATGTGTTGAACCTGAGCTCTGCTGCAGCTCAAACACCTAAAAGTCTCTCACACTGAAGCTGTTATCCTGCTGGACATCTGCAGAAAACCACCAACAACATCCTGACTGCAGCGACATCTCAACTCTCTGAACTCTTTTTTACTTGTTCTGGGCTCATGTTTCTCTGCAGCTCCATGGAAACAGAACCACCAGGACTAGATGTAGAGAGACCTCAGAGATGTCTTTAGTGCAGAATGACGCCGTTAAAATGAACAAAATTACTAAAAAACTAAAGAAAAAACACATTTCTAGCTGAAAACTCCCTGAAGTTTCATCACATGACTTCTGGTCGCGGCCGAGTCACTCACGACTTCACGGCCGAACCGAGACGCTCAAAACTTTTTGCTTCTCTTTTACAGAATCCGGTCGATGTAAACAGTTTGTTTTTGGTGCACGTAGAATAAACGACACCCTGATTTTAAGCTTAAAGATCATCTGAGAGATCGAAAATCAGATGATTCTTCAAGTTTTTATCATTTCTAGATCTGATAAAAGGTGGAATTTTATCAATATTAAATAAATGACGGAGGCTTAAAATGCAAGAAAACGAAACAGAAATCTTATTTAAAATGCACATGTGTGGACTTTATGGACGCTTCTAGGATGGCCGATGTGTACATTCTGCTTAAACGAACAGAGGACGGCTCATCAGAGCCTCAAACCCACAAAAAATCAAATAAAGTTTAAACTTCTGGAGCAGAAATCTCATGAATACGTCGACACATCTGGAGCATTTCGCTGTGATCGTGGAGGTGACGGGAGGCTGCAGAACGTCAACACGTACCTCAGAGCTCCGGCCATGACTCAGCAGAAACACCGACAGTGACGAAGGTGACGATGATGATGATGATGATGATGAAGGCTCCTACAGGAGGA